TCTCTCTCTCTCTCTCTCTCTCTCTCTCTCTCAAGGAGACAGATACCCATACCCTCCTTATCGCCGCCAATGCATGAGCAATGTATTTGTTTTGATAAGTGATCTGGTAGAAATATACATTATGACCAGGTTGACCATTTAGGGCAGTTTGCCTGACAAACAGATATGTCGGACATCTCATCACTAAATCGCCAAACAATTTATAAAACGCTTTCTTGAGCTCAAGTGAACTGTTTTTGTGAACATTTTGTAGATAATAGTCGTCCACACGTTTCACATCCAATCCGTGGTAAACACTGTCCGATGTTTTTGTTGACTCAATAAAATTATTTAAAGTCAACATATTTTTAACGTAATCCTGTGCTAACATTGAGCCCTCAGAGCTGGCATACCGGCCATTATATCGACGTCTACTATATAAAAATTAATAATATAATAAATTATGTGTAATTTACTCATTTTACTGTTTAATAGTTTTTTTTAAACAAATACCTAAATTGTATTTTTTCTCTGCGAAGGCCTTTTGGGCAGAAATGGGTAGGAATTCAGTGCCAATTACTGAATATGTTAAGGGAATCGTGTATTTGTTGAACACCTTTGCAACCAATCCTCACTTTCGCTGCAATTCTGCTCTTTTGCTATCCGTTTGCCTGAAAGTATTGACTCGTCTTTACTGACGACATCCCTGTCCTTACTATACATATGGGCACTGCTTTGCATAATAGCCCTCTTGAATAAGCCTTTAGATAGCGGGGAAAGTAGGTGTGCGGACGCTGACCAACTCCCGGCACTGCCGCCAAATATAGTGATCTGATCCCTATCTCCGCCCAACTGTTCAGCCTTTTCTCTGACCTGTAGTTAAATACGAGTTTATTTATAATTTAATTACTAAATAAAAATTATGTTTAAAACAAGCAATAAATTAATACCCATTTGAGAGCCATTAACTGGTCATAGAGTCCGACATTTCCGGGCGCATCCTCCCGATCCCCGTATAGGGAACCCAAATGTCCTAATCCATAGTTCGCGGCGACAAACGCTACGCTTGACTGGCCAGCGGTCCGCCATTAAACTTGTCAATAGATCCAGGGCTCAGACCTCCGCCGTATATCCAAAACATAACGGGTTTGAGCTATGATTTGCTTGTGTTATTATTTCCCGCATTTGGTGTCCATATGGTTAATACTAAACAGTCTTCACTTTGAATATATGTGTTTGGCGTAAATAACGGCCCTCTTTGTGGTCAGGATTTGCCCGGTTTTGTCCCATCGATGATACCCTGATATATAAATACATGTTACTATTTATGTTGACATTTATTTAAATATTTTTTTTTAAGCACTTAATTAATTTACACTTACATCTCATGGGCTTTTAAGGGGCACCGGTTTAGCAAACCTGAGGGCACCGATGGGGGGCTCGGCGTACGGTATGCCTAAAAACTGGTCGACACTCGCATCCAATACACGTACGGTCTGTCCTATTACTAAACCAGATGTGGTGTTGACGTCAACACTACTAGTATTGCCAACACTTGCCATTTATTTTACTCAAAATTCAGTTTTAATTATAAAAACAGGTGCACTAAAATTAATTATTACAAACTTTTTTTATAAGTTAAATGACTTGTAACTTTGTTTGACACAATAGAGAATAAAGTGTAAACTAAATAAAATACCGACAGCATTATTGCAGTTGTTATTATAAAAAACGTGTATATTTTTTTGCACTAAATGTTAACTTAATAAGTTTATTGAGTTGTTAACACCTTATCTCATTATAATCGCGTCACAACACAACTGTACAATGTTACAGTTTGTTTATAACAGGCACTAAATTATACTCAATTATTGCTTATCAACGATGAATTAATTTATTTAGTTTATTTAAGGGATTGCATAGTAAAACATAATTCATTTTATTATCTACCTTTCTTGCTCTCTCTCTCTCTCTCTTTCTTTCTTTCTCTCTTTTTGTCTATTTTTAATTTTTCCTTCAAAATTAGTTCATTAAATATTTGTTATTATTTTGACGTTTGAACCAAAATTACCTTATAATTCAATACAAACGTAAAGACCTGTATAAACAATAATTATTAATTATTTACATTTAAATTATTAAAGTGTGTTTAATTAAACAAAAGCTATAATTTACGGCAATTAGTGTTGTTTTATTGAGTTTAGCAAAACCTGCGATCGAAAAGTTTATGGTTTGCGTACTTTTCATCACTTGTGAACACATAAGCCATTCATTGTATTCAATACCCGATAACCCGGTGCTAATCATACCGTCCAACACATTCATAACAGTATTAACTCCGAGAGTAGTTTTACATAAATTTTCACAAATTCTCAGACACTAGTTATAGACAAGTATATTAGGAATCGCGATATATACCATAAGTTGCTAATTATTTAAGTTATTATTATAATTACTAATTTAATGGATGTTTACATACATCTAGTATTCTAATGGGTATTTTGAACGAAAGGTATTTTTTATTTCTGTTGTGGAGTTTATAATACAAATGAGTTGGCATTATGTCTATGGAAGAGAAACTTGAAACACACACACAGAGTAGTGTATACTCAAAATGCACACAGAATTTAGTTAATACATGAATAATTTTGGGGTTAATATATACATCCATAGGACATATATTATACATAATAGTATATAAACATTCATTTTGAACCACTCTCGCAAATTTCTCACAATGTATGTGTTTTTATGGGGTATATAATCACTGTGTGATTGTATTATTAGGATATATTGTATATAACAGTATATCTGGTGTTTGGGATACATAACGAAACCCATTGTATTTCATCGCATCTCTGAAACTGATGATCAAATTAATTGACATATTTTAAACGATTTATTATTACAGCAAAAAAAATAGTCTCTCTCTCTCTCTCTCTCTCTCTCTCTCTCTTTCTCTCGACGTATAAGACTATTATATATAATATTGAGAATAGTGTGCAGAATATTGTTCATATAGTTATTAGATTTAATACAATGTTATAATTATGATAAATGCACTCGAGAAACGCGATTTTCTGCTTATTTATTACCATTAAATATAGTTTTAGTCAAGATATAAATCGATTGAAATTAAATATATAAATGAAGAAATAAATGTAAAATAATAATTATTTTTTTTAAAAATATTAAAAGTCTAGTAATTGATTGAAAACATTTAATTAATGGGTTTATCAGATCTTTTAACCCATCCTATCCTTTCAATTTTTCTATTGATTTATTTATTTAATGTCTTTTTTGTTTAATTTACATGTTATATCTCTCATACAGTATAACAATTGCACTCTGTTTTAGTCCGCATTTTAATTGAATTGAATTTTATTTGAATTTATTTAACCCTTGAATTGTATTCCCTTTTATGTTATGTCCCAAACAATGTCCGTTTCTTGTAAGTTGTAATTAATTTTTAATCTAATAGTATTGCTGTATTTCCATAGAAATCCATGTTAAAGTGTCCCCATGTTAATCTTATGAGGATTTTTCCATGTTAACTCCATGTCATTGAATTAAGCTAAAAACCCATAGAAACCCATGTTAAAGTGTTTCCATGTTAATCTTATGAGAATTTTCCCATGTTAAACCCATGTGTTTCCCTATCGATGTTAATTATCAAATATCCAACACACGTGTTACCTATTCGATATACATACCACATGTTGAAACTCACGTGTCGTATATTTTGTGATTTATCATCCCATGTTAAACCCACGTGTTTCCCAATCGATGTTTATTATCAAATATCCAACACACGTGTTACCTTTTCGATATACATACCACATGTCGAAACTCACGTGTTGTATATTTTGTGGTTACTATCACATGTTAAACCCACGTATGTTCCTATTCGGTGTCAATTAGCACATGTCAATCCACGCGCTTATCAAGTAAATTTAGGTATTTTTGTCCTATTTTGTGTTAAATTAGATTGTCTTCAATACGGAGATCTTAATTAAGAAAACGCGCTACGAGTCAGTTCGGCAAACCCTATGTGGCCAATGGGGTTGCGAATGCTTTCGGTCATGAAAAAAGATCTTTCTTATATTAAGTTTGAAATGTTGTTGATTGATTTGAGATAAATTTGTTGACCATGGTCATTACCTATTCGGCAAACCCTATGTGGCCAATGGGGTTGCGAATGCTTTCGGTCATGAAAAAAGATCTTTCTTATATTAAGTTTGAAATGTTGTTGATTGATTTGAGATAAATTTGTTGACCATGGTCATTACCTATACCCAATAAACCCATAAATCCCAATGTTCGAGTCGAATAAAATGTACAAAACTATCTCGAAATGAATGAAAATCTCTAAATATAATTAACAAAACTCACTAACAATTTAAATGAATAATGATAACTAATCAAATATTTAACAAATAAATTAATAATGTTTTTATTTATATCCAATATTTCCCATATCCAATCAAACCTCATCCTATTGTGACAAATTTGGTGACGATCGACAACTAATACTAACAATTTCAAACAAAGTCCTAATATGGAGCAAATAAATTATCAACAAAAGCTTGAAAAGCTCCGTACCCGTCTGTGCGAATATCGGTATATGTATCGCCACGATGAACTGGTCCGAACCCGACCGGTGTTGGACCAATTCGATCGTTTAATTTCCATCATAGACGATAATAACTTGCCAGACTTGGCTTATGAATCGGTAGCCGCACCTTACTCCGCACGATCAACGCCAACAATTATGGCCAACCGCACGTCCACTCACACCCCTGCCGTGACATCAACCCCTTGGCCAGTTATTCGTTCGACACCGACCGCGACAGTGACGTCGGATGCACCCACATTAGTGCCACAAACTACTAATAATCCGATAACCACGACAATCACTTTGGTTGAACCAGAAATATTTGTGGAACGGCTCAAACCTCATACACTGTTTGAACCCGGAAACCGAGTGACCCTGGTGTGCCGGACTCGATTGCATGACAGCAATGTTACCTGGACTAAAGACAATGTACCGGTTGGCAAAAATTCTCGTTTATAACATAACGTTGCACCCTTAGAGTTCTGCAACTGTTAGGTTCCTCATGTTATAGGACTACTCCCGGTAATATTCACGAGGTGGCTCCTGCTTGTTAAGTGACTTTGTCTTAACTCTCAGCACTTAAATCTTCAAACCCTGAATGCAATCATGGATGGTCGCCCAACGTGCAGCGCAGTTAATAACGTCTCGAACTACGGCCCATATAGTTTTGTGGCCCCGTGTTATAAAGCGTTTACAGCAGAAATCACACTTCGATCGGGTCAATTTATGACCAATAACAGTCGGCTATCGTTGTATAAAGACGACAAACCCATTCCAGAAACAGACCCACGGTGTGACATTGAAATCAAATCCTATGGAAATAAAATTAAGATTTTATTGAGTGTAGGTGTGTTTGTTCAGGTGAGACCGTTTAAGTTAAATGCCTAATTACCTCACGGTTGGCTGCTCAAGTATCGCGAACTTAAGTAAGCATAAGGGTGTAGTGGCAATTTATACCAGTCATTTTTAATAACTCCAGAAATATGCGACCTCTCATGGACCCGCCCAGAGAAGGGCACTGTTAGCAGATATATTGTAGAGATCGGATACGATTATAATGTCATGGAAGAGTACAAGATCGTTGAAATCCCGTATTGCCGCATAGAGGGTTTAAACCCGTTTCGGAGACACATGTTTCGTATAACCGCTGCCAACGACTTTGGACGGTGCAGAGATTCATTAGCAGACACCTATAAAGCAGTCCTTGACAAGTATGTTCCGACAAAACCTCTTGGACTCGAAATAAGTAAACGATATGACGATGGAGTGTATCTAACTTGGAACCGAGCGGTCGCACCCCGAGGGTTTCCCATCACAAAGTATGAGGTTAAATCGCAACAGCATCCAAGCAATAAATGGCAATCTGTTTACAAGACAGATTCGGGCAGAATATTGGAAGCCAAAATTCAGCACTTGGCCTTTGGGAGTCGCCATCAGTTTTGTATTGTTGCTCACAATAAATATGGTCCAAGTTCAATTATAAATGGCAATCTGTTTACAAGACAGATTCGGGCAGAATATTGGAAGCCAAAATTCAGCACTTGGCCTTTGGGAGTCGCCATCAGTTTTGTATTGTTGCTCACAATAAATATGGCCCAAGTTCAATGTCGGAAGCAACCACACGTGTTGAGATAAAAGCAATTCAATTCAAACCCGAAATTGATGAACCACTGAAAGACGCCACCATAGAACTCGGACAGGTAGCCGAATTTACCGTTAAATTCAGGGCGCACCCGAAGCCGGAGATAAAATGGTATTTTGAAAACCACATCATTATACCCCGATTAAACCCAAAATATAAAATTGAAAAGAACCAAGATAAGTCAACCTTATCTGTGACTGGGGGAGGCCAGAATGACAATGGTGATTATAAAGTAGTAATTATTAACGGGAAAGGTGAACAAGAATCCGTTGGAACGTTGAAAGTAATGGCACCCGAAGTGGGCGGTGACAACCCTATTGAAATATTATCGGAAGAAACACCGGACATATCAAGTCCCGGCACTCCGGCAATCATATCATTCACTGAAAACAGTGTGACATTAGAATGGACCCCCGCAAACAAATCAACAAAACAATATAAGGTTGAAATGTCGAACGATCGCAATAAGACGTGGCGATTGGTTAAACAGATTTCTGGGAATGAGACGAAAGCGGTAATCTCTGAACTCATTAAGACCGAGATCGTAACCTTTAGAGCTACTGCCATAGATGAAAATGGCGACATCTATACAAGTCCGACGAGTGTTCCGCACATGGTTCGGCCATCCAGACACGAACCTTTAATTGATTTCGAACCCAATCAGAAATTCACATCAAGTTCTGACTTTCACAAATTGATGTATATTTACGGCGAACCTAAGCCAACCGTAGAGTGGCAATTTAATGGCAGACCAATGCAATCTACACCGGACCGTACAGTCAGATATGACGTTTATTGTGCAACAATTTGTATTACCACCGTTAAGCCAAACCACGGTGGGAAATATACTATTTGTGCAGTTAACAACAATGGAAGGGCTGACATCGAGTTTGAACTGGCAGT